AACATGAATCCAATATAAAATAAACTCATTAAGGTCGGCATGGCACATGAGGCAAGCATCGGTGGCGAACAACAACAGCTGGCGATGTTGGTTGGCGGCAGACTACAGTGGGAGGCAAGAGCTACACTTTTACACAAATTAGTGTATTTGAAATTCCCTCAAATATTATGAATCCTACATATATTTAACAATGAACCAGGTGTGAATTCAAAAAACATTATAATTTTACAATCAATTTAATTTTTCTTCTCACAAAACACTTGAATCTCTAAGACCCCTGCAAAAGAAATGCAATGCACTCTTTTTTGACATCAAACCATATGCTTATGTCACGAAAGAGGAATAATTATAAATATTAAATGTAGGTCATGAATACATGAATACATAAGAATTCTATAGCATAAGTTGTAAATTTTAAATATCAAATATGTAAAATGCATTGCTTTATCTACAACCCCCCTTAATTTTGATAACATAAAATTTTTTTTTTTAATTTTATATTTGAAAATTAGATATAATAACAAAATTTAGCTCTACATTGAGTTTGTTCTTCTAATAACACACAAACTCATTATTATAATGCAAAATTACAAATACATTTACATGGTTAAAATAAAACAAACTATATTAATTTAAACAACAAATTAAATATTCTATGAGTAAATTTTTATTCATAATTGGACTATGTTTTTATTTTAATCTTGTGACATGCATGTAATGTGTTTTAAATCTAGGGAGAAAGGCGGATTGAAATATAAAAAAAAAGGATTGTTAGCCGTGCTGTGTACACCCTGTACGTATATTCACTGAATATTTTACCTGGCTATTCGGAGGATATCCCGAATATTCCCCATCAGTAGTTGGGAAAGGAGAAATCAAAGGAATGGGTGCCGAGTGGCTTCGGCTGGTGAGGTAAGGTGGTTAGCTTTTATTTTATTTTTCAAATTTATTTATTTATATAATTTTTTTATTTTTTTAAATTAATATTATTTAAAATCTTAAATTTATGAGCTTAAATGCACGATTTAATTTCTATCATTTAATGATTTGAGCAGCAAAATATTATTATTTATCAATCTAACATAATCTTACAATTTTTTTTTTTAAATTTTCACTTAAATATAAAAATTTATAATAAAATTTATGTATTTATTTCATTTTTATTAAATTCTCAATTATTTAATTGTGAGATATATAAATGCATCCGTTTGTGGTTCAAAAAATTAACATGCGCCCAAATTTTATAAGCAGGGGTTATTAAAAAAGACTGAAAAATAGCTATTTTTAATAATTTTTAATAAAAATAAATTAATAAAGTTTATTTTTTAAGACTTTAAATGCCACACATCGAAGTCCAACCAGACGGGATTTCACATTGTGCGGGTCGCCGCCGAAATAGGCGTTGACTCTGGAGGCCGTCCCATCCTCCGTTACTTGACCGTTAACTGAGCCTCCTTAAATACCCCTTACCCATACCCTGCTCCTTCGACTTCTCATTATTCCAACCCTCTTTCTCTCTCTAACGTGCTCAAAAGAAGCCCTCTTTTTTTTCTTCCCCCACAAAAAAATAAGGATCAGGTATGTGATCTTGCTCGGTCTCTTGAACGTAAATTTTCGGTTTGATTTTTATGCTCACAATTAATTATTTTTTATTTACTTATATAATAAAAAAACATTGCTTGATGAATTTATTGTGCTTCAGCAGATTTATTGCTTTCTTTACTAAAATTTTCCCGAATCCGCTGATTTCGGAGTGATTTATATGTGGTTATTAATTAATAAATTAATATGGTTGGAAAGTGGAGATTTTGACGCAACTTCGCGCTCTCTCTCCTCACATTTCATGGAAGATGGGATTATTTGATTTGATGTTAAAATTTTTTATGTCCCTTTTCTTTCTTGTTTTGATTGAGTGAGGTCAAAATGAAAAGAAAAATCAAATCTTGAATAATTTTTCTCTTTTCTGAAGTTCGTCATCTTCTCCTCTGTAAATTTGATCCTTAGTTTCCCTCATCGCTGTTGATCTCACGACTCTTCTTCTTCTTCTTCATCTACTGTAAGAAGCATTCTGCATGGCAAAACAGCAGCTGGAAGTCCTGAACGCACTCGATGTCGCCAAAACACAGCTATACCACTTCACGGCGATCATCATCGCCGGCATGGGCTTCTTCACCGACGCCTACGATCTCTTCTGCATCTCTCTGGTCACCAAACTCCTCGGCCGCATCTACTACCACGTGGACGGCTCTGCAACCCCCGGCACGCTCCCGCCAAACGTCTCCGCCGCCGTCAACGGCGTCGCCTTCTGCGGCACTCTCTCCGGCCAGCTTTTCTTTGGCTGGCTTGGCGATAAGATGGGTCGGAAGAAGGTCTACGGTATGACTCTAATGATCATGGTCCTCTGTTCCATAGCCTCCGGCCTCTCCTTCGGCCACACGTCCAAGAGCGTCATGGCCACCCTCTGTTTCTTCCGCTTCTGGCTCGGCTTCGGCATCGGCGGCGATTACCCCCTCTCCGCAACCATCATGTCGGAATACGCAAATAAAAAGACGCGCGGCTCCTTCATCGCCGCCGTCTTCGCGATGCAGGGGTTCGGAATTCTCGCCGGCGGGATCGTCACGCTTGTTGTGTCCTCCGCTTTCAAAAACCGCTTCAAGGCGCTGCCATATAGTGTGGACCCTATCGGCTCCACCGTTAGGGTGGACCCTTTCGGCTCCCCCGTTCCGGCAGCCGACTTTGTTTGGAGAATTATTCTAATGTTCGGCGCCATCCCGGCGGCGGTGACTTATTACTGGCGAATGAAGATGCCGGAAACTGCTCGGTACACCGCGCTGGTGGCAAAGAACGCAAAGCAGGCGGCGCAGGACATGACCAAAGTGCTTCAGGTGGAGATCCAGGAGGAACAGGACAAGGTGGAGAGAATCACCCATCAAGAAAGTAACCAATTTGGTCTCTTTTCAAGAGAGTTCGCTCGCCGCCACGGCCTTCATCTGCTCGGAACGACAACCACATGGTTTTTGCTAGACATCGCATTTTACAGTCAGAATCTGTTTCAAAAGGACATCTTTAGTGCCATAGGATGGATACCGAAGGCGGCGACGATGAATGCGCTAGAGGAGGTTTTCAAGATCTCGAGGGCGCAGACTCTCATTGCCTTGTGCGGCACTGTGCCTGGTTATTGGTTTACGGTTGCACTGATCGATATAATTGGGCGGTTTACCATACAAATAGTCGGGTTTTTCTTCATGCTCGTATTCATGCTCGGGCTTGCAATACCATACCATCACTGGACGACGCCGGGGAATCACATTGGCTTCGTGGTGATGTACGGGCTAACTTTCTTTTTCGCTAATTTCGGACCTAATAGCACTACATTCATTGTGCCGGCGGAGATATTTCCGGCGAGGCTGAGGTCAACTTGTCATGGAATATCAGCGGCAGCGGGGAAGGCCGGAGCTATTGTGGGCTCGTTCGGATTTTTGTATGCAGCGCAGAATCAGGATAAGACGAAGACTGACCGCGGGTATCGGCCTGGGATAGGAGTGAGGAACTCTCTATTTGTGTTAGCGGCGTGCAATCTGTTGGGGCTTCTTTTTACATTACTCGTGCCTGAATCAAAGGGGAAGTCTCTTGAGGAGATGTCAGGGGAGAACGAAGAGGAGGAGGTGCAAGAATCTGTGGGAGGCAGGACTGTTCCTGTTTAAGCAATCATCTTTATTGCTTCTTCTTGAAAACTAGTATGGGGAGGAGCTACTCCAGCTAACAAGAACCGGAAAATTTACAGAAGTTGTCAATGTGGAGTAGGATTCCCATCTCCACTCTCAAATAAAATTTTTTTTTGTCCCTTTGTTATAAGCAGATGGTTAAGTACAATATGCATAAATTTTGCTGATTCAGTGGCCCTCTATTTAAGAATTTATTCGGGATCAATTTTATTATTTATTATTTTTTAAAATTTATTTATTTAATGTATTTTTTATAATTTTTTATTTTTAAAAATAAATAAATAAATTTAAAAAATATTTAAAATAATTTTTATGTGTTTTGAGTGTTTTAAAAAATAAATGTTGATCTTTGTAATTTAGGAATTCATGTTTTGAGTATTTTGATTGTTTAGGGTGTGGGTGGTATAAACTATAAACCTAAAATTTAAAGTTTAGGTGTTGATGTGTAAATACATAGGAATTGGGTGATATGTATGTAAATGCCGATGTTGACATTGCCACCTATAATGTATATATAATTATTGAATACGGGAAGCATATGTAAGCTTGATTCATATAGATCTTATAATGGTGAGATTATAAAAATTTATATGTTGAACTTCGACGTGGCGTCCATTGCACCTTTGTCAATTGGTAGTGATGAATTGTGTGAACGTCATGAATGAGATGTTTTTTTTTTTTTTTCTAATAATAGTTTTTAATTCAAATGAGTAAAAAGATATTAGGGTTTATGCTGGCATTAAGGTTTCATTTGAGGAGATGGTGATGTTCCATTTAGTTTGATGAAATAGCAAGAGATGAATGTATGCCAAAGTCCTTTCGCAAGAATAATAAATTTTCACCATTTCAGATGGCAACTTGTCTATCCTATTTGAAGAATGCAACTTTTAAAAGGAACTTGTTGAACACTATCGTTGTTTTAAATGAAGCCTGAGGAATGGTGGGTTCCAACAGCGAGATGAATTGTCTAAAATTCTAGAATTCATCTTTAGAGACTTCTCTTACTTGTTGAACATCTCAACTTATAGATTAAGAGAGTTTTTCATTTGTTGGATAGCTTTGATCCTACTTACCATTATTGCTTGTTTCATTAAGCACAACAAGAAAATAATACATTACAAAAAAAGGTTTCAAATGGTAAAGCCCTCATTGGATACTAGATTTAGTTGGTAATTTGTTAAAAATTGTATTGGATGAGTTGCAACAAAAACTATGTTAATAATTACTGAAGGCCAATAATTAAAAATGAAAAAAAATGTGGAATGAAAGGTAGTTGTAGGTATTTATTTTTTTATAAATATATAAAAAAATAACATAATGATCATCATGTAAATTATTTTTCTTTTAATTCATATAAATTCCCTTAAATATTGTTATATAGAGCTTTAAAAAGCATTTACACGAGATCAACAAATTCTAATTTTCCGACATAAATCCTGAGGCATGACAAGTCTCAAGGTGATCTTTTGAGCAAAAAATGTTCATACTTCTATTAAAAGTAATCTAAAGCTCCAATTTCAGCAAACTTATGGTTAAATTGATCGACTCGACGAGACAGACACAATGGTATCAAAACTGGTCCAATTCATATCAAATCAAGCATCAATCAAGTCATTAAATAACTTTTGGAAGCTCTCCAAGAAGGTCAAACAGATACTGAATTTGATGGGCATATAGTTGAATTGAATGTCTTAATAAAAAAATCGAACGAGTCAAAGATCGCTCAATTCCGACAACGTTAAGGTATTCAAATGTACATTACATGATGTATGATATAGAATAACTCCGAGTTGTCCATTCAGAATTGTTCATATTGCTTCATTAATTCCAACTGATACTTTATAAATAAAAACCCACACCTCTCATGAGGGGAGGGGAGCTTGATGTCTGAAAAGAAAGATTGAAGTTTGGAGAAAGAGTTGAAGTCTAGCTTCACTTCTGTAGCCGTAGACCACCATCAACCACTGTCAACCATCATTCGTCGGCCGCCTCCAATCACTATCAACCGCCGTCAATTCCTTACGCCAAGATTCTTCGCACACTGACATTGAAAATTGAAAGATTGTGTTACTCCTTTTGGTATGTGAGACAAAATTTTACATGCAACCTCTAGTTTATAGTAATTTTCTTCAACTGTGATAGGCCCAGTGGTTTTTTTCTTTACGAGTTTTTCACATAAAAACTTATGATGTCTCTACTAATTATTATTATTTTTTCATCTAAGTGTGTGTCGAATCTTCATACAATTTTAAGACGATAATTCATTACTCTGTCATCTTGTCGTCATGATTCTTCTAGCACACAACAATTTGCGTTTTTTTGTGGGAAACAAAACCTCGTTCAACTTTGTCTTCAATTTTGAGACTTCGAGCCCCTACTTCGTTTCCCAATGGTGTACATCATCCAATTGGCAAAGAAACCTTCTCTACATCTTGAAGATAATATCTAAAGTATTCTTCAAAGTTGGGGGTAACTTTCACTGTAGTCTCGAAAGGTTGTTCATGTCAACATCCTGATGGGATTGTAAGGAAGTTGTCTTCTCGCATCCTATTTAGACACAAAATTTTTCACAGCATCTTTCAGGCTTCACTGTTGTTTCGAAAAGTCATTCACATTTACGTTTCAAACACGATTGTGATAGGGTAGTCATCCCACATTTCATTCAAACAATAAGCCTTTGAGAACCACTCCTAGACTTAAGGCAATCTTCATCGCAAAAAAACTCTTCTTCGGTACCCCCTCATTGTATTGAGCTCCTCTTCAACTTGAACAGGAAGCTGATCTCTTCAATGTTCAATACACGGCTTGCTTTACAAGCTCGTGTCGAAAACACCCCCACTAGGGGGGGAAAAATTAAAAAATAGTAACTAACAAGTTGTCAAACATTATTTTTGAGTATATTTGCAACCATATTTCCATGAAAATATATAGTCCAATTTGACGAATGCCACAATCTCGAGAAACGCAGAGCTTCTCTGACACCTCATACTCGGCTTAATCAATCCTACTCGATTCGACCTCTTCCATCAGTGTTTATGTTCGTTAAACAGAAACTTCGACTAACAACTTCAGATAAGTCAAAAATCATTGGCGGATTTTCTTCTACTTCTTTCATAATAGGTTACGGTCATCAAGCAAAAGCTTCGACCCACACCTAGGATTGGTCAACCATCCTTGTTGGACTTCATATGATTTTGTCCATTATGAATTAACGCCGACTATACAACCTAGGACAGGTCTTACATCCTTAATGGATTTTTTTTTTATTCCGCTTCAACAAAGTCTATAGTTCTCATATAGACCAACTTAGACTAGTAACCTAGGAAAAGTCAAGCATTCGCAGTGGCCGCTAGGCCTCTACCATACCCCTAGAAATCGAGCTCAAGAGGCAAGACTCAATGAAAAACTACAGTGCTTCTAGAAGACAAGCACAGGTAAGGCTTTCAAAACGGCTCGTTTTTTTCTCGTACAGCTCATGCTCAACTAGTTAAGTAGCTCGTGTTTAATTCGTTCGCTAAGTAAATGAGTAGTACACGAATAATTTTTTGCGCTCGATATATAAACAAGTCAAACATAAACAAAGTTTTGTTCATTCGTTTTCGGCTTGTTTTGACTTGAGATGATATTTTGAACAAGAAACATTTAAACTTCTATTAAAAATTATCCATAGCCCAGGTCAAACTGACTGGTACGACGAGAGAGATTCAATGATACCAAAATTGGTCAAATCCAAATCAAAACAAGTTGCAATTAAGCCATTAAACCACTTTTATAAGCTTATCAGACTTATTTGGAACATCAAACAAATGTCGAATCTGATGAGCTTATAGTTGAACCGAGCGTCTCGACAAGGCGAATCCAATAAGCCTAATATCGCTAAATTCTGACATTGTTAAGGCACTCAAATATTTATTAAACGTCGTCTGATCGATAGTCTTTTTCCGGGACGTCCGATCAGAATGATTCGAATTCCTTCATTAATTTCAACTGGGATTCTATAATAGAGTCTCACCTCACTTAGGAGGGGAGGAGAGCTTGAGTCTGAGAAGATAGCTTGAAACTTGGAGAAAAAGCAACAGTCCAACATCACTTTTGTAGCCCTCGATCGTCACCAACCACCGTTGAACATCACTTGCCGGCCACCGCCATTCCTTACGACAACTCGACAAGATCCTTCGCATGCCAACATTGTAAATCTAAAGATTGTGCAACTCTTTCGCGGCTATGAGACAAATGATTTTACATGCAACCTCCAGTTTATAGTAGATTTTCTTCAACTGATCTACGTCCCGTTGTTTTTTACCTTTCTGAGTTTTCACGTAAACAATTTGATTGTTTCTATTAGTTATTTTTCATTCATCTAAATGTGTGTTGAATCTCCATGCAACGCTAAGTCGATAATCTTTTACTCTATCGTGCGACACGCATCAAATTTGAAAACATGTGAATAAATAATGTCATCCCTAAAGGCGGTTTTTAAAATAGATACAACATAACCCCAAAGTACCTTTTTGTACGAACATGTATAAATTCTTAAAATCTAATAAGCAGTCTCCCATTTTAATACCTATGGTAACCAAAAAATATTATGAAAATAGAGTTTGTCCATTATATTTTCTTATTGTACATAAATATATTTTCTTATTTGAAATGATCTAAAATCATACTAATGTGTCCCTACTATCTTCATTGAGAAAGCTATGCTCCTAACTACTTTAATTGACATAAATTTCAAATAATATTTATTTTGATTTTACCTTTTTTTTTTTGGTCATTTCATTCATAGCAGATTCAAATTCAAAAAATTCGGCTAACTCTAAAAAGCATTCGACCAAGACATCTGCCGGAATGTGGGAAGTTAAATCACAGTTATGCAAACAATGACTCTTAATTTCGGTGCAAATGTATTCCATTTCAGCTTCATTATTTGCTGAAAATATCTTCAGGGATTTTCTTACATACCACACACTTTTTATATATTTACATATGCAGCGCTTAAGCTTTCATATTTATATACATCACACTGAAATCTTTGAAATATATCAAAATTACCACTGAAACTAAACTTTAAAAGTAAAATCAAAGTTTTGAAAATCGAATCCGAGGGGGAGGTTCAAGTTCAAAAATTGAATCGGGGTTGAGTTGGAAGTTGAATAGGTGACGTCATAATATAAAAAAAAAACATTAAATTTAACT